CCAGTCAGGAGGGAGAGCAGCTTGTAGTGAAGCAGGAGACTGACACCTTTATGTTGACTCCTACTTATGAGGAAAGTGACCACAGTGAAGCAGAACTGAAAAGTGACCACCAGCTCCTCTCTCACAACTGTCATGTAGCTGAGAGCCAAGATCAGAAAGGAGGCGAGCATGAAGACTCAGGATCTAGAGATGCAGAGTCAAAACAAAAGAATCAAGATCACAACAGCAGAAGCCCCAGAAACAATGTACACAAGTCTACCATGTCAGAGGTTCACCATGATCCTCACACAGGTATAAACTCTTTCACATGTGACACACGTGGAAAAGGTTTTCAGTACAAGTCAGATTTTCAGACATACCTGAGAATTCACACAGGTGAGAAGCCGTATTCTTGCAAAACATGTGGGAAATCTTTCAGTGAGAGGGGTGTCTTAAAAAACATAAGAGCGTCCACACAGGTGAGAAGCTGTATTCATGTGAAATATGTGGAAATTTTTTTAGCCAGAGGGGTCACTTGAAACTACACATGAGAACCCACACAGGTGAGAAGCCGTACATTTGCAATACCTGTGGTAAAAGATTCCGTGTCACTTCAACATTTAAATACCATAGGAGAACCCATACGGGTGAGAAGCCATATTCTTGCAAAACATGTGGGAAATCTTTTAGCTGGAGGAAAGTCTTGAAAGTCCACATGAGAACCGACACTGGTGAGAAGCTGTAGCTTTGTGAGTCCTGCAAGACAAGATTCAGTGACACTTGCATTTAAAAAACATGAGATCCCACACAGGTGAGATGCCATATTCTTGTGGCACATGTGGGAAATCGGAGTCAGAGTAAGTGGTCAATTGAAAATCCACATTCCATCCATCACTTAGGGGTGTACTCACTTTTTTTCCAGCAGTTTAGACATTAATGGCTGTGTGATGTGTTATTTTGAGGGGACAGCAAATTTATACTGTTAGACTAGCTGTACACTCACTACTTTACACTGTAGCAAAGTGTCATTTCTTCAGTTTTGTCACATGAAATATAATAAAATATTTACAAAAATGTGAGCGATTGACTTTAGTGAAATACTGTATACACTACTGTTTAAAGGTTTGGGGTCTCAGAAACTTCCTTGTTTTCACAGTTTTTGTCAATTACAAATACATCAAATTGATCAGAAATGCAGTGTAGACATTGTTTATGTAAATGACTATTGTAGCTGTAAACACCTGTTTTGTAATGGCAGAGGCGTACAGAGGCTCATTACCAGCAACCAGCCCTGAGCTCACAATTTTCAACACAAAGTGACAGCCTTGCTGCTGTCAGTCATTTAAACGTTTCCAGGCACGCATTAATGTCACAGTTAATATCATGGGACATTTATGCTGCAAAACAAAACAAAATGAGTTAAAAAGTTGACAGGTCAGACAGGAAACTCTGCAGTGGTATCACAATTCAACTTTTAGCGTCTGAAAGGTTTAGATGCTCTGATGGAGCTCCGAATTGATCAGGAGGACGACGGCTTTACTCCAGACAGTGCGTCTGTATGACCTTAGACTGTGTGTGTGAGACTGTTTGGATGTGTAGAAGAACACATCATATTACTTAACATTAGATCCTGGGGATCTAATATCTCGTGTAACCTGCATAATCTCTGTTACCCTGTTCTTGGTTTTCCCTGAGTGACTAACCCTGTTTGTCTGTCTGTCTCTGCCCAGGTTCACTCACCCTTGTCCTCTGTCAAGTCAGCTGGGCTCGCTCACCTGCCCTCTCCCCTCGGACTTCTTCCCGGCTCTCCCTCGTGCCTCCCCAGTCAGCCTGCCACCACACTCCTCCACCAACCCCCTGATCAGTTCTCCAGTGCCTCCTCTCTTCCTCGGCCCACAGTGTGTGCAAATTGGCGCATTTAATTAGTTAACGCCTTATTTGCATATCAAGGTGGCGATTGTGATGACGTTATTAGACACAAATGTTACTGTGTTCACCTGTAGTGTCTCCATCAGTACAGTAGGTTGTATGGCCATGAGATATTGCCTTAGCTAAACTTCAGCTAACTTATTACACTAGCTCAGCTCATGAGTCATGCATTAGCAAGACATGGGCCTATATTGTCTTCTGTTTAATTAGCGGTAAACTGGAGGCACTGGTAGTTTAGTCTTTTGTCACCACTCACCTCCACAAAAGCCAAGAAAAAACTGCTGGGACAAAAGCTGGAGGGGCTGCTGTCTGTCTGTGAGCTGCGCTCTAGTTGTGCAGTGAGATGCGGAGCAAGAGAGAGAGAGAGAGAGAGAGAGAGAGAGTGCATCGGAACTCCAAAGTCTCATCTTCCGACGTGATAGCCTATTTAGATTTTTTCCCCCCAGTAAATATATTTGTTTCACAGGGAATCTGTTGCAAACAGGAATAAATATACTGTATAGGCCTATTCATTTATTTTTTTTAAAAAGCATCCCAGAAAAAAGGGCACTTTCTCTTGAAGAAAAAGGGCAGGTGCTGAAGCCCCTTTGTGTGCACGTGCCATCTATTAGATCATGTGCTGGGCCACATGGAGGTTGCTTCGGGGGGATGTGGTCTGGTGCTGCTGTAGACTTTTCGTTCTGCAGGGGAGGGGCATAGGGGGGTCCAGGGCCCCTATTGCCCCCCCCACCGCCACAGGACCTACCGATTCTAATTTTGGCTGATTCTGATTTTATTTATTTCTAAGAACTATAACTGACAGCATACACAACATTTATTGGAAAAATCTATTTTATTAGGATCCCCATCAGCACCAGTATAAATGTTAGTTATTCTCACTGGTCTCAAGAGAATGGTCATAATGAAACACTGATTATAAAATAACATTTTCACTGGTAGGAGCTGAAAATAAATTGCACACCATTTTAATTCTACTTAATTCTGCAATTTATTTGTGTTTAATCACAAAATAATCTGCTCACCTTTCTTTTCCCATGAAACACACAAGCACAGACCTAGACCTGTTTGTCTCTCTCTTTCTGCTCTGACTTTATTTGTCAGAAGTTTTATTTAAAAGAACTCGCGTTTTGTATCTTTTCACCTGCGATTCCGTTTTCACAGTGGCATGAGCTGCGTGTGGAGGAGGCTTGTTGTTAATTACCGATAGAGACCACACCCAGCAAGCAATTTCACGGTTAAAAGATGTCTAACCATAGCCCAAGAATAGACCAAATACACAGGTTTTGAATGACTACATATCTACCTCAAATAGACTACAGAATAGTGGCTAAAGGAGTTTTTTTACTCAAACATAACAGGTTCTCATAAATGGCAATCCGTCCAAACAAATTAAATATGACATTATATGTAAGAATATGAATATAAGTAAACATTATAAGTGACCATGTTCACCGGTTTGTTAAGACATGACTACTATCAACAAACATACTATCTATATCTTTTAATTATCATTCTAATGATGAAGGTAACCCCACCTATAAGTTTTTTTTCTTTTTAATTTAAAAGCTCTTATTATTACTGATTCATTTATCTCTATGGAACAGGTCACATGCTTTAGCCATCATGTTGCATTAGAACAACCAAATAGAAAATTGGAAAAACTGCTTTTATTCTTTTGAGAGAGCTATGTGCTGTGAATGTAAGGTTCTGTTCTGAATATTTATTGTTGTCTTTGCTGACTGTATGCTGGATAATTTGCAATAAATATTTAGTGTCATAAGTCAATAAGTCATATTTTCATATCATAATGATCTAGTGAGTAAAATATATGTGTGGCTTTCATAAGAAATTATAATAGTTAAGGTTGTACATGTTTGATGTTCACCCCCTCTGAATTCAGATAATATAATGTAAGAGTTTTTAAGGGCATGAGGAAACCCGTGGGTATCATGGAGCAACGTTAACTTACACTTGCATGCAGCATGTTAAGCTAACCACGTGCCTTAATCTACACTGTTACTCGCTGAAATGTCCCGGTTCCTACACGTTAACAAATAATTTAGATAAATAATGAAGACATGTCAAACAAAGACACAGATACTTACAAGACCAGTAAATGTCTTTTCGCTTCCAGTGTTCTTAAAACTCTCGCCCGTTGCTCGCTGAAAGGCCGAAATCGTAACGTATCCCTCGTTTAAAATTGGTGGATATATTTAACTGATGTATACTAAATTTCAATTCTGGCGTTGCCAGTAAGTTAGTCATGCCTCAGTAGGGCTACAGCTGCCATCTAGCGGTTGAAAATAGTAATTGCATTTTGCGTTTTAAATTAAAATGAAAGTTAATGCAGTGAACGTTACAGCAAAAATAAAGACAGTTTAAATGTTTCAAACGTTTACTTCCATTTGATACGATATCACGCACCTCAACAGCTGCATGGGTGAAAACTAACTTTCATGTAACCAATTTGGTCTGAAACAGGGCTACAGCCAAACCGTTGATATTAGACCACTAATTGCCTCTATTTCGCTGGGTGGGCTAAAAGCAGACTACACGTAGCCTGTCCAAATCAGAGCTAAATCGTGGCTACAGATAGACCATGTCAATTTAATGACACTTAATATCTTGTAGATATTACTGACATTGCAAAAATAATGGGATATCAACCATCTCACGTGCTGCCAGGGCAGAAATCACTATTAATCATTTTTGACCATTTTGACTAAAAGTGGGCAACAAATAGCCGGTCTGTCTACGAGCTAAATCGTGTCTAGGCACACGGCTGTAAATCATGCGTAAGAAATGAAACTAAAAAACTTAAAAGACCTTGCTTACATGATGGAATATCATACTTACTACTTATACTGTTATTTTGGCAAAAACGCCACACATGTAAAGTTATTGTGGCTAGAAGTGGGTTACTCATAGCTGGACTAAATCAGGTCTATAGTAAATAGACGGTGAAATGACGGCTATTGCTTGCTGGGCCGTGATATAATGTTGATTTACCTGGTCCCTGCTTATAATAAACACAAGAAAAAGCGGAACGAAAGCACCAGCACTTCCGCTGTCGGAACTTAATCAGCGTGACATCTGGCGGAAGTAAACCAGTTCCAGCCACATATTTTGAAATCACTGGAAGGACTTATTGTAGCCGTAGCGCCGCTAATTATTAATTTGTAATTCGTAATTCAGCAACAATGTCTTCAGTTGAGAGTTTGAGAGAGTTTGTCAACGAGCGACTAACTGCTGCTGCTGAAGAAATATTCAGAGTTTTTAAAAACACTATCGTCGAGTACGAGGAAGAGATCGATCGTCAGCGCAGACTGCTGGATATCGTTTGGAAACCCGAAGTAAAGTTACACAGGATAGGTGAGGAAAGTTTCATTATATAATTTACACAAAAGAGAGGAGATCGATTTGCGTTTAAATATACTTTGGTACTCATTTCCTCACGTGTCTGCATTTTCTTTCTTTGCCATCACATTAGTAAGGTTAGCCTGTTCCTTTTGTTCTCTGTCCCTCCAGAGTTCCCACAGCAACATGTCTGTAAGGAGGAGGAGGTTCTGGCTGACCAGCAGCTCTGGATTCAGGAGAGGATCCCCGGTCTGGACCAGGAGGACCCACAGCCTCCACAGGTTAAAGAGGAACAGGAGGAACTCTGTACCAGTCAGGAGGGAGAGCAGCTTGTAGTGAAGCAGGAGACTGACACCTTTATGTTGACTCCTACTTATGAGGAAAGTGACCACAGTGAAGCCGAACTGAAAAGTGACCACCAGCTCCTCTCTCACAAATGTCATGTAGCTGAGAGCCAAGATCAGAAAGGAGGCGAGCGTGAAGACTCAGGATCAACTAGAGATGCAGAGTCAAAACAAAAGAATCAAGATCACAACAGCAGAAGCCCCAGAATCAATGTACACAAGTCTACCATGTCAGAGGTTCACCATGATCCTCACACAGGTAAAAACTCTTTCACATGTGACACATGTGGAAAAGGTTTTCAGCACAAGTCAAAATTTCAGAGACACCTGAGAATTCACACAGGCGAGAAGCCGTATTCTTGTGAAACATGTGGGAAATACTTCAGAACTAGCAGTTTATTGATACGCCATACAAGAACCCACACAGGTGAGAAGCTGTACTCTTGCAAAACATGTGGGAAATCTTTTAGCCAGAGGGGTAACTTGAATGTCCACATGAGAACCCACACAGGTGAGAAGCCGTACCTTTGCAAGACCTGTGGGAAAAGATTCGGTGACCCTTCGGTATTCAGAACGCATGCAACAGTCCACACAGGTGAGAAGCTGTATTCTTGTGAAACATGTGGTAATTGTTTCAGATGGAGAGCTGCACTGATAGTCCACATGAGAACCCACACAGGTGAGAAGCTGTATTCTTGCAAAATATGTGGGAAATCTTTTAGCCAGAGGGGTAGCTTGAATGTGCATATAAGAACCCACACAGGTGAGAAGCCGTACCTTTGCAAGACCTGCGGGAAAGGATTCCGTGACATTTCAGCATTAAATAAACATATGAGAACCCACACAGGTGAGAAGCCGTATTCTTGCAAAACATGTCGGAAATCTTTTAGCCGAATGGGTCACTTGAAACTCCACATGAGAACCCACACAGGTGAGAAGCTGTAGCTTTGCACAACAAAAAGATGTGTTGACACATTTGATTCGACTCGGCACAGAAGGCATACAGACAAGTTATCTTGTGGGAGAGGATTCAGTTCTAGAGATTGTGGTCAAAACACACAAGAACTCACAGAAGTGAAGGTAATTGCAGCACTTGTAGTAAAAGTTTTACTCAAATCAAATACCTGAACACACCTGAGGATCAATATACCTCTGTCGTGATGAAGTCTTTTGAGCACCATGCGTTGTCCCACCTCAAGTCCACTACAGACCCACTTCTGGACCCCTTTCAGTTTTTCTACAGAGCCAACAGGTCTGCGGACGATGCAGTAAACTCTCTCTCTGGCTCCATGACCATCTGCACCGTTTCACCTGAAGGCTGCATTCTTTCCCCTTTGCCCTTCTCCCTGTACACCAACTGCTGCACCTCGGGTCACTAGTCAGTCAAGCTTCTGAAGGTTGTGGATAGCATGACCCTTATTGGATCTCTGGTTATTTATTGTTTATGGGTACCTAGTTGCCAGAACAAATAACTTGCATGTGTAACAGCAACTTGGCAATAAATCTGATTCTGATAATACTACAAAGGGTACGGTCTAGACCTGCTTTATATGAAAAGTGCAATAACATAACTTTTGTTATGAATTGGATCTATATAAATGAATAAAATGTAATTGAAAGTGAATAAAAGTCACATTTTTCTTGATAAATGACTTGAAAGATGATTTGATTGCCTGTTAATGTTGTTCAATAAAATAATAGCATGGAGACACAGATCCAAACCACAGAAAAGTCATCACAAAATCAATAGTCACACTAAAAAGAACATAACCTTACCGTGTTCAAGATTCACCGTAACGTGTTAAAAAGTCCTTCAAACGGAAAAGCTTTTAAATTCCACCAGGTGAGAAGCCATATTCTTACAAACATTTTGGACAAAAAAAATTGCTTTTCTCAAAAGCACTCTAATTAACCTACCTGCTGCTCTTAAAAGCACACACTAATTAAAAACTGAAGCGATCATGTATAAAGTATGGAAAAACACTTAAGCACATTATAGATGAGCTTATTAATAAAGAATACAACATGTATAATGTTAATGTTAATAAATGACTTACTAATGTGTATTAATGTATGAACAATATTTTATAAATGATGAATTCCGTATTTACTGATACTTAACTAATGCTTCATAGTGTGTAGTTGCTACAAAGTGTTACCTATGCTTCTTTTGTAGGATCCCAGATAAAGAAAATTAAACACAATCTGGCTTTTTCGGGGGAAGATCTATCCACATCATAAGATTGTTTCTAGATTTGATTAATTATAGTTACGTTAGAACATTGTACCTGTTCGAGATTCTCAGTCAGTAGGGGCATTAGACAAGGTTGCAGCAGCTCCCCTTTAAAATGTATAGTGGTTGCTGAATTACTTTCCATTTTGATTATAGATCAATGGAACACAAGGTTAAACATTTTTTGAAAGCACATTGTAATTAGTCAATTCATGGATGACACTGCATTATTTAAAGAAATGAAAGACAAATATCCAAAGGACTAGAATCCATTAACCAGTTCTCTAAGGCAGCAGGCATGAAACTTAACTTTGACAAATGTGAAATATTGGCCTAACATGATCAATCAGCACACCCAATGTTTAATATCAAAGTGAAAGCTAAAGTCAGATACTTAGGCATCACTGTCACCAGGTCTAAAGAAATAAGAGAGAAATAAAACATTTATAAAACTATTAATAAATGTAAAACTATTTTGAACTCTTGAATACAAAGAGACATCCATATTTGGAAGGGTCTTATCAAGAGACATCTACCCCACTTTTACATTAGAAATCTCAGACAAAATGTCTAGAATCATAAACTATGAATTTCAGCTTTATCAGGAGAAATAAATGTCACTACATAAGGAGAGCTGACTAATTAAGAGTGTCGAGGAAGGCGGTCTGAATGCCATAGACTTTTCTGTTATAAACAAGGTCCTGAAATTGAAATGGCTTAATTCCTTTATTCTGCACAAAGATTCAATTTGGTATACTATCCCTGATGCAATTTTTAACAAAATGGGAGGCAAGGGCCTCACTTTGTGTTGGAAAGTCGTGGAGACATTTAAGGGCTCATATTCAGGGTGTGTTGAAAAACACGAGACGTGAGAGTGCACAGTATTTGAGTCACGAGAACAAGACAACAAGATACTCCAATGCTTTTTAGAAGAAATATTCATTGATGAAATATGCAATTCGATTTGGGGGGTCTTGGGGAGAGCATTAAACTCTTAATATTCTGCATTCTAGAGAAATTTTCTGCACCAATTCATGGTGGGAATATCTTTATTTATATGAAAGGAAGCACAAAATTCATGTGGCCGCTAACAATTTGAATATAATGCAGTAATCAGCAACTTTTTTTTTAGCTTAAGTTACTTTTTTTACATAGAATTTCTTGTTTTCCTATTGCGCAAGTAAACCTTTCTCATAGAATTTTTATTTGTTATTTAACATTTCTTGCAAATTTTCAGAAAACATTCAGCACATGCTCAAATGCTTTCAAAAAGTGGTGGGGACATGTCAGTCCCAGTGTAAATGACACATGGGAGGAATCAATTTTATTTTATTACAATGTGACTGCCCCCAGCGACCCTGTACGCAGGATAAGCGGTTGACGATGGATGGATGGATGGATGCAACGTGACTATGATTTATACAAGCTGCCTGTGAAACTATCTGACTTCTACCAACAAGTTCTCCTGTATAGGAATTTAATATACAAACAAAACTTTACACCTTATAATACACACCTGTGGAACAACAGATATATTCTGTCTAGTAACAAATCGCTGTTTATGGGAACTTGGATGGAAAAGGGAATCTGGGCGGTTTCCCACTTGATGGACATATTTGGTCATTTTTAAAATTATAAAGATTTTTGTGTCAAATTTAATTTTCACTGCCCAATCAGAATACTATAAAGTGATAAAGGCCATACCAGTTCCCCTTAAAACAGTGATTCAGCAGCTTTTGGTGCACTCAAATATTAAATTAGAAATGAAGCCACTTTTTATCAAATGTACAAACTATGTTTTTGAGAAATGTTTATCAACACAATACCATCCTAATCTGCTGAAAAGAAAATATGTTCTTCAAGAATTCAGTGAGGAAGAGGCAAGGAAAAAAACTAAAGGTATATTATTGCACCTTCTAAATGGGATGTCGATCAAAGCTGGAGTACTCTAGAAGGACAATAAATTGGATTTTCTGATTAATAATTTGATTATGTTAGGTAAGCACTTTATCCACAGGTGCAAAAGGTTAAGCCCTATATAAATGGTTGGATGAATGAACTCAAGCTTTTCGTAATGTCTTTGCATTACATGACGAACCAAAATGCCCAGATTCTTTTGTCTTTGTTTAACTTATTTATGCTCCTGGAATAGGACACTCACATCCTCCTTATTTCTTAGTTAGTCTTGCTATAACTTCAATACTGTCTCAACACTATTTTGTATTTGTGATTATTCTCTGTTTAAGTATGCCATAAAGAGTTGTCAAGGGGGTAAGCTAGAGATCGGACAGTGAAGCCGACCAAAACCTGCATGGAGGGATCCATGTAGGCCCAAAAATGACGTCAAAACCCTGTGACACCCCGTCGCTCTTGAGAGATGTAACCGTATTGCTTATAAACTCTCAGCAATCTAAAAAAACTCCAGGAAATAGAACATATTAAATGGAAGTCAGTTTGGAATATCAACAAGCAATATTGTGTCACCAAAAAATTAGAGAAGTTTCATTTAAAATTATACATTTGATTTATCCTGTGAACCAGGTTATCTCAAGGTTCATGAAAGATGTTGTGGAAAAGTGTGTGTTTTGCAGTGGTGAAGCTGAAACCATCTGTCATTACATTACATTAACACTTTATTTTGGTTTAAAGAATGAAAAGCAGTCAAAACATGTATGTATGTAAAGATTTAAATATCTGCATGCCTTTGTTGTTTGTCACATTATACCCCTCTGTTCTTTAGTTATGTCATGTTATATTTTGTTATGTTATACATTTTTGTCTTGCTTATAAAATGTCTGTTAAGAGATGAAATAAAGATTCAAAGATTGAAAAAAAAGCAATCTAAAAAAACTATTCGGCGATCAGTGACGCTGCGTGGTGGCAGGTGAGCTTCGTAGGTGGGCTGATTAATCAGTGAGGATGCCAGTCAGACAAACACACTGAGCCATGAGACTTTTAGTTGGCGCAGCTGCCAGAATTACGGTGTTTCTGCCGTTGCTCTACGTCATTAAACCACGGTTATGCTGCGCGATCATGCGCAGTAGACGCTGGTGCCAACAGGAAGCAGCCTTGTAGTAGTATTTTATTGGTCCAAATCTGGCTTCACTCCTCCATTCAAATCAGGGGGGTGACTTCGTCTAGTAATATAACGTCTATGAGAGTAGTATTGGAATTTGACAGTGACAGTGTAACATCCGGCGGAAGTAAATAATAAACATGCCGGCTTACTGAATCTGCTGGAAGGAGTTGTTGTAGTCGGAGTACCGCTAATTATTTATTTGTAGTTCAGCAACAATGTCTTCAGTTGAGAGTTTGAGAGAGTTTGTCAACGAGCGACTAACTGCTGCTGCTGAAGAAATATTCAGAGTTTTTAAAAACACTATCGTCGAGTACGAGGAAGAGATCGATCGTCAGCGCAGACTGCTGGATATCGTTTGGAAACCCGAAGTAAAGTTACACAGGATAGGTAAGTAACGCTTTATTGTGTTATAAGTTACACAGAAGAGGGGGCCAGTATATTAAATACAAAGTGTTACATATACTGTATAACGTTACTGGTACTCATTTCCTCACGTCTCTGCATTTCTTTCTTTGCCATCACAGAAGTAAGGTTAGCCTGTTCCTTTTGTTCTCTGTCCCTCCAGAGCTCCCACAGCAACATGTCTGTAAGGAGGAGGAGGTTCTGGCTGACCAGCAGCTCTGGATTCAGGAGAGGATCCCCGGTCTGGACCAGAAGGGCCCAGAGTCCATATTTCAGAAACACCTGAGAATTCACACAGGTGAGAAGCCATATTTTTGTGAAACACGCAAGGATCAAGTCACCTGCTTGAAAACACCTGAGGATCAATATACAAAGGTTCACCCGTGAATGAAATGCACTTTTGCAGTCACCACATCTCTCAATCGAATGTAAAATGTGTTCCATGATATGAGATCTAAGTTTCCCTTCATATGACTGTATTATATTTCTATTAGTGACATTATTTCCATGAAACAATTGTAACTTCCAAAATGGAGGGCAAGTGGGGTTTGGGGGCATGGCCCCCCGATTTTATTCTTATTTTTTTTAATAAAGCACTTAAATGCTCATTTCTAATGACTTTTGCAAACAGAATGTACTTATTAGTGTGGCTCAAAGAGGGTATTTGCAGTGACAGAAGATGGAGAGGGTAGATTATGAAGACTCGGGTGCAAAGTCAGAAAGACGGAGTATAATAGAACTAGAACAAAACTCCACTGACTAACTACCATAAAAACCATGCTATTGCATATAATCTGTTAGTTAATGTAGCTAGCCACAGTACAAATGTATTTAATTGTCCTAATGTTACACTTGTGAGCTGTCTGTGAAATTTCCTGTGTTTCACTTGGCCCCGACTCTCCCTGCAACACGTTTGTGAACACAGAACTGTCTTCAGTGCAAACTCTGATGACATGTCATTGGCCTAACAAAGTCTTTTACTATGTGAGTTTTAGAATGTCTAGTAGCTATCCATACAACTTACAAGCTCGTCTTCCTCAGTTTGTTCTGCTAGTACTCCTGTGACCTCTGTCCTCTTCCTTTTAAAATACTGTAGGATGCTCATCTCTGTGTGACAATTTTGACTACATTTAAATTTATGGACACGTAACAGGTTTTTAAGGCCAAGGATGGTCACAGACAGGGGCGAACAAATGGCCCAGGAGTCCATGGTCAGCCCACTCTCCAGACAAAGCATCTGTTTGGGTCTTTAGAGACCTTGAAGCAAATTGTTTGTCTGAATATAAAACCCCAACACAACATGTCTCAGCAACATTATTCTTGTGTCGATGAGCATGCGATGCACCTTTATAACAGCTTAAAACTGCAGTGTTTTCCCAGTTTAATGTGTGCTTCAGATGAATGTTTTGGTGTTGGTTTGTGGGTGCTCCCCCCTCAAAAAAATTTGTTTTCTTATGTTAATATGTAATTTCACATCATCTTGGACCATTATTTTCACCATATCTCTGAACAAATAGTTGAAAAAGCTAGAGCAGGTAATAAATAACCAACAGTCAAAGTTCAGTCTACTGGAGGAACTACAACCTTTAGATCTGGAGAAAGTAACTTGGTTGGTTCTGTTGCTCCACAGTGATTTTACAGTGATGGTGCAGCATGTTTTGGGCATCACCCCTAAAACCCTGTTAATATGACCTCAGAATCATTATAGATACGACTGTTCATGTTGGCCTTTGTGTCTTCATTTTACAGCTTCTTAAATTTATCTATAGACATTAATATAAAAAATAGGCAGCATGAGAAACCTCCTCCCTTCTGAGGTACATTTTATTTGCACATTAAAATCCAAAAAGAAACGTCTCCTTCACCGTCACCATCTGACGCTCGGACAATCAAACACTCGCTACGCACCTTACTATATTATGACATTTCTGATGTGAGTTTGTTATCTGAGCTGCTAAGAAGCTGACAGCGGTGTTAGAACCAGGTTGGAACAGAAGGGCATGCAGGTTTAATGCTGGGCTGAGTGTGAATGAAGATGATAACTAGGTTGCAAGTAACGCCTTAATAAACAAAAAACCAAATGAAATTAAGAACAATAAATACATCTGTATCAGTATCCTGGATTTAAAACAGTTAACAAAAGGTTCGTCAGACTTAACGTGATGCATGCCGGACTTAAAACAAGGCATACTGGTTAAAAATTGTGTCCAACTCTCTCAGACCCTGCAAAACGTCACCATGTCACATGACATTAAAACCTCGCAGCTGCAGGCGCCGAGTCCGGCGGCCACAGTTGCTTTTTCCCGACTGCACGAAGTTGGAACCACACTTTTGCCTGGTCTCGCGGTATTTTTCTTTGCAAATGCCACGAGATCAATCATTGATCTCAGCTCACAGTAAGCTGCTGCAGGTAGAATGTGTCCAACTTGACGGTGCCGTTTTTATACCCCGCCCCTGCAGTCATCATCAAGTTGGCGAAAGTCAGCTGCGGTCATCTCGAACGCACCTACAGACACAAACCAGGCATTCAATATTGCCACCTGCTGGTAGAAAGGCGAAACAGATTGCTCTATTACAATGAAAACCACAATAAAAATTAATTTATTAAAATTATTGTGCTAACAGTAACAAATCTGCACGCACAATAATTACCTAGGTTAAACTATATTACCAACTATATTGCACCAAACAATGCGCTCATTAAACGTAACTCTTTTACATGAATAAATGCACAATATTATATATTGCAGAATGTGGAAATACCACATGAACAATGAAATATACTTGGACTCATTTCCTCACGTGTCTGCATTTCTTTCTTTGCCATCACAGTTCTAACATTAGCCTGTTCCTTTTGTTCTCTTTCCCTCCAGAGCTCCCACAGCAACATGTCTGTATGGAGGAGGAGGTTCTGGCTGACCAGCAGCTCTGGATTCAGGAGAGGATCCCCGGTCTGGACCAGGAGGACCCACAGCCTCCACAGGTTAAAGAGGAACAGGAGGAACTCTGTACCAGTCAGGAGGGAGAGCAGCTTGTAGTGAAGCAGGAGACTGACACCTTTATGTTGACTCCTACTTATGAGGAAAGTGACCACAGTGAAGCAGAACTGAAAAGTGACCACCAGCTCCTCTCTCACAACTGTCATGTAGCTGAGAGCCAAGATCAGAAAGGAGGCGAGCATGAAGACTCAGGATCAACTAGAGATGCAGAGCCAAAACTAAAGAATCAAGATCACAACAGCAGAAGCCCCAGAAACAATGTACACAAGTCTACCATGTCAGAGGTTCACCATGATCCTCACACAGGTAAAAACGCTTTCACATGTGACACATGTGGAAAAGAGTTTAAGTTCAAGTCACTATTTCAGAGTCACCTGAGAACCCACACAGGTGAGAAGCCGTATTCTTGTGAAACATGTGGAAAATCTTTCAGCCAGGGGAGTAGCTTGATAGCCCATCTGAGAACCCACACAGGTGAGAAGCCGTATTCTTGCAAAACATGTGGGAAAGTTTTCAGAATCAGAAATCACTTGCAACTCCATATGAGAACCCACACAGGTGAGAAGCCGTTTTCTTGCTCAACCTGTGGGAAGACATTCTGTGTCACTTCAACACTTAAAAGACATATTAGAACCCACACAGGTGAGAAGCCGTACCTTTGCAAGATCTGCGGGAAAAGCTTTGGTTACTCTTCAGCATTAAGTACACATGTGAAATGCCATACAGGTGAGAAGCCATATTCTTGTGAAACATGTGGAAAAGATTTCAGAACCAGCAATCACTTGCAGCTTCATATGAGAACCCACACAGGTGAAAGGCCATACCTCTGCAAGACCTGTGGTAAAAGATTCAGTGACTCTTCAAGATTTAAACAACATACGAGAACCCACACAGGAGAGAAGCCGTACTCTTGTGAAACATGTGCTAAATCTTTTAGCCGGAGGGGTTACTTGAAAGTCCACATTAGAACCCATACAAGTGAAAAGCCGTAGCTTTGTGAGACTGCAGGACAAAATTCAGTGACACTTCAGCATTTAAAAAACATATAAGAACCCACACAGGTGAGAAGCTGTATTCTTATGAAACGTGGGAAAGCTTTGAGAGTTAGTGGTCAATTGAAAAACCACGTAATAAAAGAACACAGGTGAGAAGCTGTAGCTTTGCACAAAAAGATGTGTTGATGCGTCTGATATAACACAGCACAGAAGGCACCATACAGACAAGTAATCTTGTAGGAGACGATTCAGTTCTAGAGTTCTCAGTTTTTTGAGCTGTGAAGCTTTGATAGTGATTACCAGCGAAGAATAAAAGCTTTGCCGGTGTTGGTCAGTCAGTCATCTTACGCAGATTGTTTAAACGTCTGTTGATAAGCAAGCTGTCATTTCACGAGCTAGAGCTGTGTATTTCAGAAGCAGAACAGCAGAAAAAGTTCTGGAAATTACATGAGTGAAGGAGAAACTTGATTATGGAGAGAAAATGGCGAGTGTGTAAGTCATTGTCTGCTGTGTGTGAGAGAGACAGGGATAGAAAAAGAGAGAGTGCTCCATTTCTTTATTCTCATAGCGTAGGCTAACTAAAGCAGCAAGTTATTATTACCAAGACTTTGTTTTTAACTTTGTTACAGCTAGGCTAGCAGACTCAAGTGCAGGAGTAAGAGAGGGAGGAGACTGGAGTTATATAAAAGAGGAATATTTATTGCAGGGTTGAAGGGATTGGATATAGAGTCGGGCAAGAGTGGTGGAGTGTGAGGCTGAGCAAGCAGTATATATGTGTGTGTGTGTGTGTGTGTGTGTGTGTGTGTGTATATATATATATATATATATATATATATATATATATATATATATATATATATATATATATATATATATATATATATATATATATATATATATATATATAATCTAATATTATATTTTGTCTTTATTTATTGAAACTGGTTCGCTATGTTGTCGTTTGTTGTAGCCTTCAGTTTACTTATTAATTTTAAAATGTAGGCTATTTGACTGTTTTTATCTGTGATGAAATTCAGGTAAAAAAAAAGGTAAAAATATTAAACGCATAACTGCCACACTGCCGTTGTCATCGCTCAGTTTAAAGTGCTCCCACACAGCCGAGGGCTTCATTTTGTTTTGCCTGTGATGGTGTGTGAAAAAAATCTCAATATTTAAATCCCAAATTCAAAAATTTAATGCGTACCCAAAAATCGAATATTGGGTGTTCGGGTCCAGACCTACATAATTGCAGCACTTGTGGTAAAAGTTTTACTCCAATCAGATACTTGAACACACCTGAGGATCAATATACCTCTGTGGTGATGAAGTATTTTGAGCGACGTGTTGTCCCACCTCAAGTGCAGTTGTTCTGCAGAGCCAACAGCTCTGTGGACGATGCAGTAAACATGGCCCTTCACTACATCCTCCAGCTGCTGGACTCTTTATGAACCCACCGCAGGATCCTGTTTGTGGATTTCAGCTCTGCTGCTCTCCCAGCTGGGCGTGCCTGACTCCACCTGCAGGTGGATTACCGACTTCCTGTCTGACAGGAAGCAGCACGTGAAGCTGGGAAAACATGTCTCTGACTCTAGTACCATCAGCACTGGTTCACGCATTTCTCCCTGTAAACCAACAGTTGCACCTCTGTCCCCAGTCCGTCAAGCTCCTGAAGTTGTTTGAGGATCCCATCCTCGTTGGGCTTCGTTTTCTCAAAAATTTGCAACAATATCCAGGGGTATGAATAATTTTGGACATGACATTTTTAGTACAAATAAAAAAAATAAAAATAAAAAGTTGAGATTTATCATTAATAACCTCTAACACAATATCGTACTGTCTTTGTCACTTGTTTAAGGTATTTCCATCCAGATGAAACCTATTTGTAAAATTAAAATTCACTATGAATCAAAATTTGGCATGGGGCTTAATTTTATATGAAGTCACAATAGATACTTTGCAGGTTAAGAACTTACAGTAAGCTTATGAAATGAGATGCATTGTTTAACTATCCAACAGGATGTAAAATGGGCTTAATGGAGCTCAACGTTGTCTAGCTGCTCAATACAAATGTTGCATGTTAGGACAAAAGTAATTAAAATGTTATGGCACTGATAAGAGGCCGCTGATGAGAGACTGATTTTCAATACGTAATTTAACGTTTCTTTAAATATATTTTGCTGATAGTACTCTCCAAGGGTGCTTTGTGTTAAAAAGTGGTGGGAATTTCAGAGAAAGTACACTTTTATTATTTATATAAAGGGAAACGCATAATTCAGGGAGAAGGTGACAATTCAAAATATAAAATATCATAAAATATAATGCTGTAATATTTTCTAGACAATGCACTTTGTTTCTTCTATATTTACATTGCATGTTTTTTATTGTGCAAATAAATCTTTCTCATTTGTAATTAACATTTCTTTGGTTTGGTCTATTTGTCTTTAAATATACACAATCACATACACCAAGAGAATAGCCATCAAAATGTGTTCAATCATTTGTCCAATATACTGTATATCTTTATATTCATAACAAAACAAAAATATTTATACAATGAAAAGAAGACACTCAAAGCAATGGCCTTTAAAATAAATTAAGACTCTCAAACAACCTTTTCATGTGTTCAGCAAAATTATATGAGAATTGAAACATAAACATGGCAAAACAAACACTTCCTATATAACTATACAACTGATCTTACTATTAATGAATACATCCACAATTTTAATTAGACATTGGTCAACTTCTGTACAACAACTGTAGCTTCATTGTTGGTATTTGTTTGTTCTTTTTGTTTTCCTTAACTGTCACAGTGAAGTTATTGAATGTTACAATTTCCCAAAATTATGCAAAACTATATTTCTATGATCTAAGTGTTGTAGTATCATCAACATGAGATCACTGATGCCTATGGTGATTTGTGAGACACAGCTTATAAAAGTGAAGTTATTGAATTTTATTGAATATTAAATTCTCCAAAATTATGCAAAACTATATTATTATTAAAATTCCAGAAAATTATGCAAAACTATATTTCTACAAACTAAGTGTTGTAGTACAACCAGCAGGATATTAATGTATTTGTGGGGTGATTTTGGAGACAATATAGCCTTTAACAGTTAAGTTATTGCAAAATTATGCAAAACAGTATTTCTAGATAAAAAGTGTTGTAGTATCATCAACATGAGATCACTGATACCTGTGGTGATTTTTGAGACACTACATCTTATAAAAGTGAAGTTACTTCACTACATTTGAATTTTTAACAGTTAAGTTATTGAAGAGAAAAATTCTCAAATTATGCAAAACAGTATTTCTAGATAAAAAGTGTTGTAGTATCATCAACATGAGATCACTGATGCCTGGGGTGATATTGGAGACACTACAGCTTATAACAGTGTAGTTATTGAATATTAAAAATAGACCTACCTAATATTAGTAGTCTTTTTTCTCAAAACTAAGTGTTGTAGTATAGCCATCAGTATATCCTGAATGTGTAAGGTGATTTTGGGGGCACTACATTGTATAAGTGGGAAGTTATTGAATATTTCTTCAGTATGTGTTTTCGGCGTTGCAATTTGTAGACGGTCCCTGCAGTCTCGTCTCACAGCCGGCTGCACGTAGAGACCAATGTTATTTGTGCCGCTCGTAGGACGACTCATTTAGATGAAAATGTACTTGTAGCTTGTTGTCTACTTAATTACGATAGTAAAGAGGCATTGATTGTGTTTTAAACACGTTTTGCTTACGAGTTATTGATCCCGGAAGTTTGAATCTGTGAATATATTTCCAACTTTACTGAACTTAAATATACTGTATCAAGTCTGCCAACTTTTCAGTTTAGTTTGGAGTGAGATTTGCTATTGGAGGACCGGGGTGAAGTTAGAAAAATGCATCTACAAAAAATGCTGGCCTCAGAGTCCTGAAAGGAGTACAGGTCCAGAAGAGAAGGGAGATTGGAGCCAATCACCTTCTCTGCAGAGCGAATGATGCGCTGCAGCCTGGCCTTGTCCCTGGCAGTGGCAGCAGCGTACCAGATGGTGAGGGAGGAGGTGAGGATGGACTCAATGATGGCGATGTAGAAGTGCACCATCATTGACTTTGGCAGGCTGAACTTCTTCAGCTGCCGCAGGAAGTACATCCTCTGCTGGGGCTTCTTGGTGATGGAGGTGAGGTTCAGCTCCCACTTGAGGTCCTGGGAAATGATGGTGCCCAGGAAGCAGAAGGAGTCCACAGTGGTGACTGGGGAGTCACACAGGATGACGGGGGAGGGTGGGGCTGGGCTCTTTCTGAAGTCCACGACCATCTCCA